CATTCACATCCAGTGGGGCAAACCAGGTGGCCACTCCCCAGACTGAAGCCAGGAAAGCCCTGAGTGTGTGTGTGTGTGTGTGTGAGCATTGCTCATGGTCACACTGAGGGGCAAGTGCAGGCTCTGGGGGAGTGGCTTGTGCTCCAGGGAGAACTGAGTCCATAGAAAGGCAAGGCCCATTCATGTATTAGCCAACATGTGTTGAAGACCTAATTAGCTTCATTTTACAAAAGGGCTTTAGAAAGGTTAAGGAACCTTAATATATCTAGCAAGTAGCCAAATCAGTTCTCAAACCTGGGTCTGTTTGACTTTCAAACTGAGGCTATTAGATGAAAGGAGTAAATACAGAACACCGGGGCCCTGGGATCAGGTCATCGTGTCCTGCTCAGTTTTGCTACTTTCTGGTAAGGAATTGTTCTGGCTGTGGATAAAGTTAAATAGTCCTGTATATACAATAGGACAAAAGAGAATTTCCCCCTTGATTAGTTAAATATGTTAATCCGGTTGCTGAGTTGCTCAGAATGTTTCTCGTTCACAAGCAAACATGTTATGACCTTGGAGCCCCCATGGAATCCACCACTTGGAGAAGTTATTCTAATGAACTAAACATGTTTACCCAGCCAAGATTCTAGAATAGGTTAGAAGAGTGATGGTTTGTGAACATTGAGAGGTAGCAGCTCATTAAAAGTAAAAAAATCACGTCATGCTCATCTCAGGGATAGGTGATAGGTACTTCCAGACTTCGTTAAGACAATTGATATCTTCGACAATGCCTGTGGACAGGATGGAATTATTGGTTGGATGATGGTCCAGTCCAATTGTAATGGGAGCCACAGTGTGGCTAGTGGTTAAGGGTATGGTCCTGGAGTCAGGTATCTGGTTTCAAGCTCTGACTTTCCCACCACTTGATCTGGGTGACTTCAGCGCAGCTACTAACCCACTCTCTGCTTCACTTACTTCCTCTGTAAAATGGGAATAATAATAGCATCTTCCTGATGGGATTATTGTGAGGAATGAGTTGAAAATAATTAGTAATAAGTGGTGAAGTGTTAGAACAGTGGCTGGCATGCACAGGATGTCATACAGGAGTCATTGTGATTAGCTCTCATTATAACAATCATTGTTATTAGGTTGTTGAATGACTGGACACAAAGCAAACTGATTAATGACTTCAGTGACTCATACAGAGCTGATCAGTATCTAGAAACTCTAAGTCTTTTCCATACCATCACTACCTAACCACATTTTTGCCCTGTAGGATTGGCACTGCCAGTACCAGAAGTCTACCAAAAAATCCATTTATTCACTCACTGTCTTTTGAGGAGTCTGAGGCAGATGGGCAGGCTGGGAGATGAATCTAAAAATATATTTTAAGAATCCTCTGTTAATACCCAAAACTACATGATTCTATTAGCAACAATTGTTTAACTGAGTTTTTGTTGGTTTCATTTCATTTTGTTGTGTTGTTTGTTTTTTTTTAAATTATGTTTCCCCCTTTCTTGACATTATTTATCCTGATGTTTTTCACTGGCTTGAATACTTTAAAAAATCTTTTTCAGAAAAGAAATGTCAGGGGTTACCTGGGTGGCTCAATTGGTTGATCATTCGACTCTTGATCTCGGCTCAGGTCTTGATCTCACTGTTCTGAGTTCAGGCCCTGCATTGGACTCCGTGCTGGCTGTGCAGCCAACTTAAAAAAAAATGATTAAGAAAACAGGTTAAAAAAAGATTAAAAAAAAGAAATGTCAATAATATAATTTCTGAGATCCTTCATGTTCTAAAGTGTCATTCCTTGACTTAAATATAGTACTATGCTTGCTTCCTTTTCCTTAGAACTCTGTAAATATTATTCCATTCCTATTTGGTGTTTCAGACAAAAAGTCCTAGGTCAGGTTGGTTTACTCTTCATTATAGATTATCATTTCTTCCTCTCCTGTTTTCAGAGATTTTTCTTTTAATCCATGAAATTCAGAATGATTTTCACTTTTCAACATTAATGTCTGTTGCCTCAAAAGGCTGTTTTTTCCTTTTTAAGATTTTATTTATTGATTCATGAGAGACAGAGAGAGAGAGGCAGAGACACAGGCAGAGGGAGAAGCAGGCTCCATGCAGGGAGCCCGATGCAGGACTTGATCCCGGGACCCCAGGATCACGCCCTGAGCTGAAGGCAGGCGCTAAACCACTGAGTCACCCAGAGATCCCCTCAAAAGGCTGTTTGGATGTGAATACATAAGCAGAGGAAATTTTTCCTTTGATATTAGCTTTTTAAAAGATTTATTTATTTATTTATTTAAGAGATTGAGAGAGAGAGAGAGAGCATGAGCGGGAGGGGCAGAGCTAGAGAGAATTTCAAGCAGACTCTGCGCTGAGCACAGAGCCTGACTCAGGGCTCAGTCCCATGACCTTGAGATCATGACCTGAGCCAAAACCAAGAGTTGGACACTTACCCGACTGAGCCACCTAGGTACCCCCTACAATTCCTCTTAAAGGAATTTTACATCTTTTGGATCTGGTCTCATATTGTTTACTGTCCTATAGCTTCTGCCTCATATAATTTCTTTTTCTATATGTTTCTGGAGAATTTTTTTAAAGATTTTATTTATTTACCCATGAGAGATACAGAGAGAGAGGCAGAGACAGGCAGAGGGAGAAGCAGGCTCCCCTCAGGGAGCCCAATTTGGGACCTGATCCCAGGACCCTGGGAACACACCCTGAACTGAAAGCAGATGCTCAACCACTGAGCCACCCAGGTGCTCTGGAGCGTTTGCCAAGTTGGAATTTGCAAATTTAGTTTTTAGCAGTGACCAACCTCTATTGGGTTCAATGCCTCTATTGGTTTTTTATTTTTGACATTCATATTTTATTTTTAATTTCCAGAATCTCATTGTTTCTTCAGGAGTTCCCCTCTTTTTGTATTCATTACAATATCTTCTTTTTTTTTAAATATTTTTAAGTAATCTCTATACCCAATATGGGACTTGAACTCACAACCCTGAGATCAAGAGTCACACTGTCCTGACTGAGCCAGCCAGGCACCTTGATTACAGTATCCTCTTAAACTCATTTGGACTTCCGCATCTCTTCATATGTCCAGAGTGTTCTGGTCATCTATTATAATGGTACTCCCTGCCCCACCCCCTGCTCGGCTCCACTGAATGGCTTAAAACAGCACTTTATTATTACTCACAGTTCCATGGCTAGGTGCTTGTCTCACTCATGTGGAAACATTCAGTTGGCGGCTGGGCTGGGCTGGTAGGTAAAAGAAGGCTGCTTCTACATCCTAGGGCCTTGATGCTGACTGTTGGCCAGGACACCTTAGTTTTCCATGTGGTGTCTCAATTTGAGGGTATCCCCTGAATGGCTTCTCTCCCAAGCATGATAGTGTGGATTTCCTTACAGCATGGCCACTGTGTTCCAACAGGGGGATAGAGGAAGCTACCAGTCATCTCCACGGTTAAGTTCAGAGCAGGCACAGGGTTAACTTTTGCATTTTATTGTCTTAAGCAAGTCTCCAGACCAACCCAAGGGGAGAAGAGATGGATTCCACTATTGACTCCCTAAGAAGTGGCCACCATCTGTAGTGATGATCTCCCAGATTTCCCCCCAAATTTGCTGCAGTAAGATGTAGGTTGATCAGAATTGGTAGCTTGTAGGGCCTCTTTCAGGATTTAAATGAATTACTGGCTCCTAAACAATGATTAGTGAGTGATGAGGAGTCCATTGGGCCACGACCAGAAACAAACAAACAAACAGGAGAATATAGTGAATTTTAATAAAGGCAGAAACAAATTTAAAAGGGTTCTGATATTATGTTCTTCCTTTTTTTGTAAAATTATGGTGTTAGTGTAGGTTTTAGAAAAAACAAGACAAAACCAAACACTCTTTCCTGGCAAAATAGAATATTGGCCACTTTATACTGGTCCTTCCAAAATAACTGGCCTTTAAAATCCCAGAGCCTGGTAACCACCAGGTTTTCTTCAGTCTCGCTCATCTCTTGCTCCCCTGCCTCCTAACCCCCCACCATGGTTCTTGCAAGTGTCCTGGGATAAGTCCCATTTCACTTAAGGTATTTTTTCCTTTAGGTGAAATTCGTGTGTGTGTAGCTCTGATGGAGTTCCTGAAATTTTAGTGTTGTTCTCTAAGCCATTCCTGGGGGAAAAAATCTGCTAATTGGCAGAGTGAGTAATCCAGTCTCTGAATTACTGTGTGGTTTTTACCCCTGTACCTAATGCTTTTGGTAATCTTTAGTTTAGGGGAAAAGTCTGCCAAGGGGCATAGTCTTTTTCTTATTGAAGTTTATCATAAATTCTTATAATCTCGGTAAAAATAATGAGACCCTTCTGGAGTTTCCTCTTATACTACCTGCCTCACCATTCCATGCCCAGGAGCTAGAAAGAATTTTTCACTCTGGTTTAAATTGTTTTATATTTGGAGTTCTACTTCAGCTATTTTTTTTTAAGAGAAGGACAGAGGAGGGGCAGAGGGAGAGGGAGAGAGACAGAGAAAATCTTAACCAGGCTCCACGCCCAGCATGGAGCCCGAGGAGGGGCTTGATCTCACAACTCTGGGATCATGACCTGAGCTGAAACCAAGAGCCTGATGCTTGACAGGCTAAGCCACTCAGGCACCCCATCCTTCAGGTATTTTAATATGAGGTGGAGGCCATCCTTACTTTGTAGTGATTGAATTTTTTTCAGCATTGTTTTTTTGGGCTTGTTTTGTTGGGTGTCAGATAGTTGGTGATGGTCATTGGTTTTTGTAAATTTCCAAAATATCCTGACAAGGATTTATTGAAAACCTTTTAGTGCCAATGGTATAAAGGGTATATGAAAAGAACCTTTGAGGAATGAAATAAAATTCATGATGCCATTGCAAACAAATGCATCCATTTTTGTAAGGGTAGATTGAGAATGTGAGAACTGGCTGTTCCAATACTCCCCCCTGCCCCTGTGTTTCCCCTTTTTCTGTTTTTCTCTCCCTTCTTGTATCTGGGTCTCAAGACATAGATGAGTGTGAGGTTTCCGGCCTGTGCAGGCATGGAGGACGGTGTGTGAACACTCATGGAAGCTTCAAATGCTACTGTATGGATGGATACCTGCCAAAGAATGGGCCCGAGCCTTTCCACCCGACCAGAGACGCCACATCATGCACAGGTGGGTTTCTGCCAGAGAAGGAAGCTTTTTTGAAACTGGGATTCTGGTCTTAGAGGACTTTCTCCTGCTCTGAGCCTGGGTCCACAGCGTCTGTGTTGGGGATGTGAGCGGAGATTATCTATTCCTTTGCGTGTCTGTACAACTTGTGAAATCCAATAACACAAGGTAGAAGGGGTTGGCTATCTTACATTTTTTTTTGAAAGCTACAATTAGTAACCTTCCAGGATTGTTAGCAGTTAATAGATAGTCTCCTATTAAAACGTGATTTTAGGTAGTAAACATAGCTGATCTGGTAAAGACCAGCAGCAGAAAAGTGACTCTGGAAACGACAAAGCCATATATAGGAAGGTATTTTGCAGTTCAAATTTTCTACTTTACTGGGCTAGACTTCTTTTTAACTAGTGTGAATTAGTGAAGGTTGATTGCCAAATTCCATCAGCTTTGTGCTTGTACAGATGCTATTCCCTATGGAAGGCCAGAAGATTGAATAAAGACAGTTGTTGGAAACATGCCCAGAAGTCAAATGGAAATGAATCAGTCTATGTAAAATACCTCTCAGGTGTGTGTATGGGGGTAGGGGAATGATGGGGTAGAGGTAGAGAGAGAGGATGAATTTTGAAAATTCATATTCACGTAGTAATGAATTTGACGTTAATTTATTTTCAGAAATAGACTGCGGCACCCCTCCTGAGGTCCCAGATGGCTTGATCATAGGAAATTATACTTCTAGGCTTGGCAGCCAGGTTCGTTATGCTTGCAAAGAAGGATTTTTCAGTGGTCCAGAAGATACAGTTTCAAGCTGCACAGCCTCGGGCACATGGGAGTCCCCAAAATTAAATTGTCAAGGTGAGTTTTCAAAAGGTTCAGGTTCCCAGCTTCCATCATTTTGAGATTGTTTTCATACTTCTCTCTGATTTTCTCTTTCGGATACTGAATGCATTAAAGAGATCCGATGAGTTCCTAGTCTCTAGTATTCTCTTGGTATTTTTAGGAATAGTTATCCTCTGCAAATAATAATAACATCTTTTATTTTTCTATATTTATAAAAATTATGTTTCTCTTGATTGACCCACTTGGTTAGTATTTTCAGAGCAAAAATTTAAATAGTAGTATTGATTTTGAGTCTTCTTATTTATGACTTTCATGGCAGTGGTTTTAGTTTTTCATTGTTCATTTGTGGTCTTGGCTCTTTTGATGCTATGGATATCTACTTATATATTCTTATGTACACTGATCCAGTTCTATGTGCCAAGTGCTCTTAAGCACTTTATATATCGATGCATTCTCTTAGACACGTGTTAAAGTGGCCATCTATGTTTCTGCTTTAAATAAGTCATATGGTAGGTTATATTATTTGCAGATAATGGTCTTACATACTAGTATCTGGAATGGATTCTGGGTCTTTGGATTTTATTATTCTTTTCATCTGGATTATATTTGCTAAATTTTCTTTAGAAATTTTACATTGATATTCAGAAGCGAGATTGGTTTACTTTATTTTTTTCTATGCCATCTTGGTTGGGTTTGGTGTCAGTATTATTCTAAATTTAAAAAAAAGGATGTGAAAGAATTTCTTTCTTCATTCTCTGGACTATAAATAGACTTTTAAAAGCTTTGGGAGATTTCACTTGCAAATTATCTGCATGTGGCTTTTTTGGAGAGGTAGTCCTTGGGTTATCTTAAAAAATCCTGTACTGGTCTAAGTTTCCTATCCTTTTTTGGTATCCATTTTGGTAATTTACATATTCCTAGAAAATCATCCATTTTACCTAGATTTTTAAACTGTTTTGTAGAGAGAAGCAAAAAAACACTCATCTTTATAATTTTTTGTAGTTATAGTTGTTTGTAAGTGAAAAATTAGAAACAATCCCAAATATCTATCAATAGGAGGCTGGTTAAATAAATCATGACATATAATGAAATGGAATATTATGCAGCCAATAAAAATTCCATTGGAAAATTATATTTATTGATATAAATTAGTCCTAACAGTCTATTACTGAGTTATCAACTATATGAATAACATGACATTAATTTTAAAAAACTCATGTACGTATATGTTTAGAGAAGTTTAGAAGGTTATACAGCAAAATATAAACAGTGGTAACTCCCTTGGGGGTTCCTGGATGATTTTCAAATTTGATATTCTTTCTGTAGTCAAAGAGTTTTAAATGTATTAGACAAAGTAACAAAGCTGTTTCCATTTTGGAAAAAAGAAAACAGTTTTCATTGACTTTATTGGGTAGCCGGAAAATCTCAGTGATATGCTTGGCTAAGTTAACTCTTAACACTGTTCTGATTTGCGATTCAGGCTCTAAATACATTTTAATAGTTAATTATCATCCTGGGGGGCTAGGAAATTCTAAAAGTACATTTTAGTTCTAACATTATCTTTCAATGGATCAATTAAATGCAGAACTTCAATTAAAATGTGCCATAATGCATATCAAAGAACTCCCTAAGGATTTATGTAGGAAAACCCCAATAATAGAGTTTGTGGGACTTTGAGAACTAGTAGTCATCTGGATTATTGGACTGAGAATGGGGAAAGTTAATTTAGAGAAGAGTACTTGTTACATTCCCCAAAGAACTGTTATTTGGAAGATCTTCACTTCCTTTTTCCCTCGTCTAATAACTGCTCCGTCTGCCTGCTGACACCCTCCACCTCCTCCCCACATGGCCACTGGCTCCTCTAGGCTGTGTCTGCTCCTCTGAGCACACCCCTTCTTATTTATCCTTCATCATCCCTCGGGCTTCAGAATCTGGGCTGCATGCCAGCCGGCACTGTATTTTCAGCTCAGAGGTATAAAGCCACAGGAATTGGGACTTCCACTAAAAACACTGACAAACTGTGAACTTGGATGTTGCTGAGGAGCAGATACTCAGGGAGGGAGCAGCTGTGTGTTACAGATGCACCTTTGGTGGCCGATTGACAAGACTTCCCCATCAGAGAAGGTACTGTTGGTGGATCCCATTGTTTGCCTTCTTCCCATTACTGTGACCCTGGAGGCTCAGTTGCCATGGCCAGGACCCTGTGACATGTGCCCCCATCTGAGCAGGCCTCAGGGGTGAGAGCCAGAAGTGAGAAGGAAAGCTTCTAATGCCAGGACTTCTGTGGCTCCCTGTTCTGACTTAGGTAGGGGCAGATGGAAGCATCAATCCCACCCTTCCATCAGCTCTCTGGAAAAGTCGGAATCAACCTCGAGTTTGTGTTTCCTATTATTCTATTATGATTTTTTTAATTTTCAGAAAAGGTGCACAATGTATGTGGAAGCTTAAAGAAAATTTTTTAAAAAATTTATTTTAAATTTTTAAAATTCAGCCGAGCCAGAAGCAAAGTGAAGGAAACACTTCCAACTGTGTTGTCATCAACAATAAATCCAGAGTCCAGGGCCGATGCTAGATATCCTATAGATCTTGTGACTAAGAACAACTGGGGTCTGGGAGAAGAGAAAGCGCAGGTACATCACGAACTCCTACATATTATGTGAGAAGAATGGATAAGATGGGAAATAGGGTGGTTTCCAGGGAAGAGGCTACTTGGGTGCTCTTCCCTTTGCAAGGTTTGCTTGCTGTGTGAGAGAGCGGTGAGGAGTGCTTTGTAGGATAGGTAGGCCGGGTAGAGGGTTCTGGGGAGAAAATAAATCTGTCTTTCAAGATAAAATCCAAACTTCTAACCATGGCCTCTGAAGCCAATAGGCCTTTTTGGCTTTTCTGTAGGTTACATCTGCTATCATTCTCTCCCAACCAACATGTCAAGCTTTGTCAGCTTCAGGGCCTTTGCATATGCTTCTCCCATTACTTACATTACTTGCCAACCAGCTTAAATTTTTTTTTTATATTGTGGCAAAATATATGTAATATAAAATTTATCATTTTCACCAAGTACACAATTCAGTGGCATTAAGTACATTCACAGTGTTGCCCAGTCATCACGCTTATCTAAGTCCAGAATGTTTTCATCACCCCAAACAGAAACTCTGTAGCCATTAAACAATAACTCCCCGCTCCTGTGTCCCCCAGCCGCCCGCCCTCATTCTATTTCTGTCACTGAAAATTTGTGTTCTAGGTGCCTCATATGTGTGGGCTTGTATGATATTTGTCTTTTTATGTCTGGCTTATTTCACTTGGCGTACGTAATGTCTTCAGGGCTCACCCATGTTGTAACAAGAGTGAGAACTCCATTCTTTTTTAAGGCTGAAATATTTCATCCTGTGTATGCACCACATTTTGCTTATTCACTCATTTGTTGATGGAGTCTCCCTGCTTTGGGCATAGCAAGCTCCTTCTCATATTTCAAGTTTCAGCTTGAAAGTGTCAGGAGTGACAGTGTTCTCTTTCTTAGTACCCAATATGTAAGTACCTGATTTATGATTCTTTGTGTGGTTTATATCACTCCTACTGGACTGTGAATCTAGAAGCCCTGCAAGCATGGTGTCTTCCTTAGCACGATCTCTCACTCCCTGGCACAGTGCCTAGCATACCTGAGAGCATACTGAAGGCCTGTGGAAGCACCCTGAATCCCCTCCAAAAGGCGGCACAGACCATGGCAGACATTATGGAGTTAGCTCCTCAACTGCCATCCCAATTTATCATGTGGCCAAGCCCTGCTGAAACCCTGGCCTCCTCTTTTGTTTCAGCCCTCGAGCTTCATGTCTTTTCCTGATTCCACATCTTCTTACTTTGTCTTCTGTATCTCCACGTTTGCTTCTCACTTGGCATGACATCTCTGTGCTTTAATGAACCAGGAGTGAGGCCTTGGGGCTGACTCCTGGTTTTCCCTATATCTGTACATATGGCCCTCAAAAGATGGGTAGCCCAGCCCTGTGGGCTGATTGCAGAGGCAGAGTTTCTCCTTTGAGTTGGTTGATAAGAATGAGACATGGTTTCTAAAGTCTAATAGTAGAGCCTGATTCTCTAAAGATAGTCAACCCTTCAAGGTGGTTTTCTATAAACATTGTCTCATCTGATCTTTAGAAATGCCTTGTGAGGTGGTTTATTAGCTTATTTCTCATTTCACATATATTGTATTTACAGCTAATGGTGGGTATCATATCCCATTAAGAACCAGAGATAGGAAATGAATTAGCTTGTGTCGCTAGTTTATGTATTAAGATGAGAACCCAAGGCACTTTCTAGAAGGCAAATTCCATGTTGAAGCGACCCTTGTGAGTGCTGGAAATGGGAGGCGATGAGGAAAAGCAGAAGGGCGTGGAAGTACACGGTGTGGTCTGCGGCCCACCCAGAAGAATATGTATTGGAGTCAACTCCTCATCTTTTGAGATTCTCATAGAGCTCAATCTCATCTCTGCAAAGTTGTCAGTGTTTGAAAAAGTTTTGATGTAAGTTGGAACACAAATTAGGACGTTCAGGTGAGAGGGCGGCAGACAAATTTTGTTGTGTTGCTTTCTCTGAAGTTTTATCAGGGGTGAGGGGAGGGGGTGTGTGGAGAAGATTCACATCTAGACCTGGCCACAAAGAGTGCTGTGATTGACTCGTGCTGTCTGCTGTGGGTGACAGAGGACGACACAGTGGCAGCACACCTATCTTGTGTTTTTATCTTTTGTGTTCCAGGTAATTATTTGAAATAGATTTTTTTTTTTTTGGTACCACACCACATACTGATCTTTTAAAACATTAAGGAGAACCATATTGACTTCCTGGGTGCGTGCAACAAGTCTCTTGTGTTATCCTTTTTGCCAAGTAAGTGCCATTACAACATGTCACTTACAAATGGTTGGAGTCAGGATGCCTGGGTGGCTCAGTGGTTGAGCATCTGCCTTCAGCTCAGGGCATAATCCTGGAGTCCAGGATCGAGTCCCACATCAGGCTTCCTGTGAGGAGCC